TCTTATAATAATAATAAAGCTGTATAATAAATATGCACATTTCTGTATATGCGTATGTATATGTGTATTTGTATGTTTTTGTGTGTTTTTGTGTGCGTGCAAACTAGATTGAATGGAAAAGCCTTGCAAATTATCCGTGGCTCCCAGGTCTGATTTGGCCATGCGAACAGTCTGACTGGGGATGCATTGACGACCCATTCGGCCTACCCTGTCCTGACACGTCCAAACGCTGCCCAGCTGCCCTACTTGGTTGGCAGGGTACCTGGACTTCAACTCTTAGATCGGCACAGCCTGTCAATATGTAGGTGTGTGTGAGTTTTGTGTGTACGCGCCGGTGTTCTACCAGTGACGTGTTGCCAGGGTAGGATCACTCGCAGACCATGGCGACTTGACCAAGAGCAGACAGACTGGTTTGGTGCAGTCGGACAGACTGTCGACATCGCATCGGCCCGACTGCCCACGAGCTGCACTCTTCGCCCGCCCGGTCGTCAGACCGCCAGAACCCTGCGGGTCGTAGTGAACTGTATCCGGCCAATAGGTCGGTTCGTCTGTCTCCTCGTCTCCTTACGAGGTGTCCTCATGGGGTTTCCGCACCAGATCGGGTCAGCAGACAACCGGCCAAACTGCCCAAAGTGCCCAGACTGCAATATGAAGGTCTGAAGGCATGGAGGCACGGCAACCTCGGCCCGCATCGACCCATTCCTTCCACGAGGCCTTGGCCAGAGGCTGGAGGGTTTCATGTCCGCGAATTGTCGAACTGTTAGCCTGTGTCTGCAGTCTGGGAGGATGCGCACATGTCAGCCTATGCTGGTGTCTGTACCTGCGTCGACAAGCGTGCGGCCGAGTGCAGAAACCTATGCTCGGTCGCTGGGCCCCGGGTGCATCTTCGCAGACCTGCCGCTTATGTGTAGACGGACAGATACAGAGACAGACTGTTAAGGATCCACCCTCATCGGATCACCTCGGCTGATCACGGTCCATGTCTCCGGGCCGAGAGCAGAGGTGTTGGGCGGGCGAAGAATCTGCCACTTTTGCCGTTCTGCCTCACTCCTAGACCGGGCACCGCTCCAGTCGTTTCGTTGAGGCTGCCCTAGGCTTGGCCTGTCCTTTCGCGGCACCTTCAACACCCTCGACGAGATACTGACTCGGCGTCAGCTCGAGGCGTCGGCGCCCGACCCTCTTCGAATCCTTCGAGCCTTCGAGCCGCGTCAGGAGCCCGTCTGCTCGTTTCCGGTACCTCACGCCGAGTCTATTCTCGTCGCGGTCGCCGTGGAAGTCGGAACTCAGCCGCCCTAAGTGGAACTTCCTGTTCGGCTGTGCCGGTTGGGCTCATCGAGCCTCAAGAGCGTGTGGAATAAGACGCTCTTTCAGCTGTTTCTGTGCCTTTTGTGTCCGTCCTGTTGATGCCCTGTCCAGCTGCAAACATGGCGACGACCAACTTCGATGAGCATGACATGGGGCTGAAGATCGGACATGCCGTGTACCGACAAACCTCTCCGTCTGTCACGCGACTCGAGGTCAGTACACAGTCGCACGAAGGTTGTGTGCCGTAGGAGTTGGCTCTCGTCTTTTTTATACGCCAATCGGTTAGCTTCGTCCGTCACTAATCGTCACTATGGCCGGAAGGACTGTTGTCATGTTGACGCTTCAGCCGCGCGATTCGTGTTATTGCCTCATTCTGTTCGTTCTGTGCGATGAGACGGGTGCAAAGTATCCTCGTTAGTTGTTTTTGCTTGAAAGCGAAGATGAATCTCTTTTGGGCCTTTGCGATTGGGAATTTCTGCCAATTTGTGCTAGCTCCTTTTTCTTGCAGGAAGGTGTGCCGAGAAACCTTTTGCATGAAGCCACAATCACAATCGTTTAAATCCACCCTCTCGTTCGGTGTCAAATGAGGCCAACCTGCCAGTTATACCTTTCAACCATTTTCAAACGAGCTTAAAGGTACAACAACCTCAAAACCTGTTTCTCCGCGTATCAGACATGCCAGTGTTCTGGGCAGCGCGGTACTTGTCGTTAGCACGGCCAGACCAAGGAAAGGTCCGAAGGCGTCAAGATGAGCCCAAATAGTCACGGAGAAGCCTCACGTAGAGGAAAGCCCTATTCTTGCGACATGATTTGTGAGATTTTAGGGCAGTAAAAGTCCGAGATGAGCAGAAAATATTTGTCGGTCAACCGTTTCACTTAGGGAGGATTGCCTTGAACTTTTGACTGCTGGATTGTGCAAAGAAGACTCCGGTTCACCGTTCTGTGACAAATACATCCGAACTGAGCGATGAATTTATCAAAAAAATTAAGCCAAGAAAAGTAGCAGGCTGAAATCCGATATACTTCTAATACATAGGCTTCTACCTTTCTTAGTCTAGTATCTTTGGCAAATTGTTCATAAATTATTATTTCCATCTCTGACGATGTCACTCATCTTATAGACAGAGTCTAGCACCGATTCATCATGGTCACGGTGTGATGAGCCATGGTCTTCTTAGCACAATCAACCAGTCAGGAGTCTGAGGAAATCCTCCTTTTGTGTTCGGCATGGCGGATTTAAGAATCATATCTTATGAAAGAAAATGAAAGGTAGCCGAGCCTCAGTCTAATAAGCGCTTCAAAAACATCTAATTCGGGTGGGCCATTATTTATAGTCAGAGTTTAGTCGATAAAGTCCTGTTATATTTTATTATATTCTAGTATCATCGATTATATTAAAATTCATTATATTCCATCTTATCAATTCATATGCAACTTATTATATATTATTCTAATCAATTATATTTTTTGCCAATTCATTTCTTAAATATACTAGTCTATCCATTTAAATCCAGGTTTATTTATTCAATAAAGTTTTAATTTCTTCGCGACTATTCTAAACTAGTGTAATCTTTTCTATTCTACTTTCTACTATTCTAAAATATTCTATTATGTTTTGGTATAATTTATTATTGTTTATTCTAATCAAATGAGATTCAGTTTATTTATTATATTCATTTCAAAGCAGTAAAGTCTCGAATCCACTATTTCATTTAAGGTGATGAAGGACTGATAAAAGAATTTTCCAACAATGATATAAGTAGAGCTAACGTTTCCATTGAATTTCACATAGCCTTGTTTTCCCAAAAATTGTTATCATCCAGGCTGGACTGAAGTTTCGACCTCGCATAGGCCTTATCAACATCCCCAGCGGGAGACTAACCGTGACGATGTAGAAGAGGTGCTGAGTGGTTAATGTGCCAAGCTCACTTTCTGCATTGTCATGATTTAACTCCCCCTGGTGGTGTTGATAAGATCTATACGAGGTCTAAACCGAAGTCCAACCTGAATGATAACAACTTATGGAAAGCAAGGCTATGTTAAATTCAATATAAAAGTCATCTCTAGTCATATCATTATTAGAAAATTCAACTTTTCGTCCTTCATTACCTTCAACAAAATAGGGTAAATACATCTCATAATTTATTCTACTCTACTCCATTCAAGTTCACTCTATTATATTATATTATATTATATTATATTATATTATATTATATTATATTATATTATATTATATTATATTATATTATATTCCATTCCATTCCATTCCATTCCATTCTATTCTGTTCTATTCTATTTTATTCTCTTCTATTCTATTCTCTTCTCTTCTCTTTTCTCTTCCCTTCCATTCATTTCTATTCTCTTCTATTCTCTTATCTTCCTTTCTATTATTTCCTTTTCTCATTTCTTTTCTTCTTTTACCTTCTCTTCTCTTCTCTTCTCTTCTTTTCTCTTCTTTTCTCTTCTCTTCTCTTCTCTTCTCTTTTCTCTCTTCTCTTCCATTATCTTATCTTATCGTATCCTATATTCCCTTCTCTTCACTTCTC